CATATTTGTTTAGATAACAATTATGCCTCTTATGATACAGGCCCAATCATTGTTATTCGAACGGGCCCAACCCACCTATATACATCTTAGAGGCCATCAAAAATTGCCGGGTCTACTTAAACTAGGAAACTTTTTAGCAGCCTCTTCTAACCCCCATGTTTTAACTTTACAAGATGCATCTAATCTCCATGCCCTAACTCATATAAATTGGAGGGGCCTACATAAACGGTTCCCGCAAATTCCTATTAAAGATTTTAAAAAGATTGCTCATACTTGTAAGTTTTGCCTTCCTTACTTACAGGTGCCCCCTTTACAATCCCCAGGAGTTAACCCTAGGGGATTAAAACCCAACGTATTAAGGCAAATTGATGTTACTCATTTTTCTCCTTTTAGAAAGCTCAAGTATGTTTTTGTTACTGTTGATACCTATTCTCATGCCTGCTGGGCTACCGCTCATTCAGGTAAAAAGGCTCGACATGCCCAAAGTCACCTTTTACAATGTTTTGCAACACTTGGACTCCCCAATCAAAGTAAAACTGATCATGGCCCCTGTTTTGTTAGCCGTGCATTTCAGGAATTCCTTTCATGCTGGTGCATTCACCACACCACAGGTATACCATACAATCCACAGAGACAAGCTATAATAGAGTGTTATCACCAAACTTTAAAAATTCAATTACAAAAACAAAAAGGGGGTACCACCAGCCCCCACTAACAATTAGGATTAGCACTATTTACATTAAACATTCTAAATTTTTCCAAAAATGAGTTAATGACACCTTTTCAAAAGCACCGGTCTAATCAAGACATAAAGCCCGAGGTACAAATTAGATGGAAAGACCCCATTTCCAGACACTGGAGAGGACCTGACCCACTCCTAACTATGGGAAGGGGATTTGGGTTTGTATTCCCCTTTGACGAACCCTGCCCCAGATGGATACCAGCCAAAAACCTTAAATTTGTACCTCAAAATCTTGAACCAATAACTCAGCCCAGGGACAACAACAACCCTGAGGCAAATTCTTCTCTTTCAGGATACTTATGCAACAACCCGGGTGAACCTGCCTCTTAATCCTTGTGGGGGAGTTTTGCTCCAATCCTGATTGCCTTTGTCCTTAACACCATCAACAGCAGCATGATGCATCACCTGGTCATCCTATGGACCATCTGGCTCTCCCGCACATGAGGAACCAATCACCTACCAGTGCAACAAACCTGGACAAAAGATTGTTGGTTATGTTATGATGTTCATCCCCCATATTTTGAGGCTGTGACATTAAGTAACGTAACCATCCTCCCCACTAACAGCACCCAGTGTGCCATTAATTACAACAGAACCCATCCTGGTTTAACCATACAATATATGTTGGGAAAAGGATTATGTGTTGGTGTAAACAACTCCTCCCTTTTTCCAATACCATTATCCTCAACAGCACCTGGGCTAAACCCAGCCTTGAGCGATGGTTATGCACCAAATCAGGGCTTACTGCTTGTGTGTTTAATCAATCCTTATCTCATGAAACTTGTGTATGAGTAGATATTGTTCCCCGAATATTATGGCATAAAGGGGAAGAAATGTTTCAATATTGGGCAAGTAACTTTCCTCACTGCAGTAAAAGGGCACTAGGGGCCGCTGTTACCATTAGTACTTTATTGGGGATTGTAGGCGCTGGGGTGGGGGCTGCTGGAATAGGATATACTTACACCCATACACAAGCTTTAAGGGAAGCTATAGACATAGATCTAGATAGGCCTGAAACATCAATTAACCATTTGCAAAAATCATTAACTTCTCTTTCCGAAGTTATATTACAAAATAGAAGGGGATTAGACCTCTTGGATGTGTACATTAATGTTTTTCATCAAATTTGGGAAGTTTAAAACCATTATTTCTTTAAATATTTTACTGTTTTTTTCCCTCTCTTCTTCTGAGACTCCTATCATACATATGTTAGTACATTTGATACTATCCTACATGTTTCTGAAGTCTGTTCATTTTTCCTCATTTTTTTTTTTCATTTTGTTCCTCCAACTAGATAATCGTGATTGATTTTCTGTTTCTCTCTTCTGTTGGATCAAATCTTTTGCTAAGTCTCTCTATGATTTACTTACGTTTTCAACTCAGGAATTTCTATTTGGTTCTTATTTATACATAATTTCTCTTTGTTGATATTGTCTTTAATTCACTACAGTCATAATTTATTTTTACAACTTTTATTCCTCTGAACATTCTTATAATATTTGATGTGTATTCTTTGTCTACTAAGTCCAACATCTGAACCACCTCAGAGAGAGTTTGTACTGACTTCTTTTTCTTGTATATGGGCCACACTATCTTCTTTCTTTGCATTTCTCATAATGTTTTGTTGAAAATGAAACATTTTAAATAATACATTATGTCTTTTCTGGATTCTGATTCTTCCACCCTCAGGAGTTGTTACTGTTCTCTGTTTTTTGATTGTTACTTTTCAGGACCATTAAAATAGATTCTATCTTTTTGGGAATGTGCAGCCACTGAAGTCAATACTCACTTATTTTTAATTATTTTCTTCATTTTTAAGCCTGGCTTCCAAGGAGTCACCCAGGGTCATCATGATTAGGAAGGGTTTTCCTTAAATACCTAGAACCAGTAAGGCTCCCACACTTTGTTCAGGAAACCTGGAGGTGGATTGGATCATACTTTCAAAGTTCAGGCAGTTTACAATCTGCTTTGACTTTCACTTTCTGCTTGTGTAAGAACTCATGGTGAGCCAGGAACCAGTAGATAACTGAGGCCAGCTATGATCTCTCCTGAGCATGTGAACACTTTCAGATCTCCAGGACTATATCAGAGTTGCCAAAGCCCAATATCATTGCACAAATATATCTTTTATATTTTTGCTGTAATGTTGTTTGTCCCAACCAATATTTCTGCGTTTGGTAGCTATGATGTTAGTCTTTCCCAGTTGTTTGCCACCAATATCATTATTGTTGACTACAATGTCCCTGAACTTTTCCTTGGATCTCCAAATCAAATCAACCACCTCCTGGGGCAAGAAGACTGTTAGCCTTAATGTCTATGAAGCCATGGAAGTAAGGAAGGGAAGAGAGGAGAATGGGAGCAGTCATAATATAAATGCTACAAACCCCACTTTTCTAACCAAAGTGCAATTTTTTTTTTTTTTTTGTCTTTTGGTTTTTTCTGTGTCCGGCAACGGATCGCAACCCTCAGTGTTGCCCCCGCACCGGACCGGGGACCGGCAACGGGATCGCAACCCTCGGCGTTGCCCCCGCGCCTCGCTCAGCCAGTGAGCGGGAACCGGTTTGTATGTGGGATCTGAACCCTCGGGCAGGAGTGCCACCGCGCTTCCCAAGCGGCGCACTCATCCAATCCAGTGCGCCACCGGGCCGGCCCGCAATTTTTTTTTTTAATAAATGCTTTCAATTTGCTGTATGACTTTGGCTAATTTCCAGAGTTTTTAAATGGTTGTTGACTGTTCTGCCAGTTTTGCCACTTTTTGGAGGTGAGAATTTTCCAATGTCCTCACTCTGCCATTCTGGAAGTCCCACTTTCTAATAAAATTTTAAAAGGGTTAAGATATCTTCCAGCTATGTATCCAGACAGGGGTCACTCAGAAGTCAAAAACTGTTAACTATACATTACATTCTTTTGTATTATGTCTAACAATAATAATCAAAGCATTTAATTCTAAGAGAGAAATATAGAATTGGCCTGATTTTGTTTCTTACCTAGCAGTCAAAAAAACTTAAAATTTTCCAAAATTTTTTTAGCAGTCGTACATTAATTTTTAACAATATGAAAGAGATTATAACTATTAGTTTCTGTATTGCTAAAATAGGTACATGGACAATTTAGATAAAAAATTAAAATTAAATAAAAATCTGAATTAAATGTAATCAATTATAAGAATGGTTCATGATTTGATAAAAAAGATAAACACTTGATAAATAGAAACAAGTAAAAGAATTCTGATTTTATACAGTGCATTCATTTTATGAAGAATTAAACTAATATAATAAAAAGCACAGTTCAAAAATGTACATATACATATGTATATATGCTTATATTATATTATAACAAAGATCTATCAAAAAATTAAGGAGGGAGAGGCTCACTTTGCCTAGGATTATAGGGTAAGGTTTGGCAAACAGTTTTTTAGGAACAGAGAAGTGACAGAACATTTCGAGTAGAGAGATTAGCATCTACAATGGTACAGAACTATAAAAGTATCTAAAGCATCTAGAAAGTGGCTGGAATGTGGGGGAGATAGGGATAAGATTTTGAAGAAATGAGGTAGGAAAATTCAGTTGATGCTATTCTGAAGAGTCTTGAAAGTCCTATTAAAAGGGTGTGAAATTCATCTACTAGGTAATCTGGGAAATGACTTGATAAAATTTATATGTGAGAAATACAATTCTTCATGCAAATAAAGGATGAAGTTATAAATAACAGAAGAGAAAATAAATTGAAAGTGGAATCATTATTTAGAGATTGGCATTTTTTACACCATGATGTCTAAATTGTAGGCCTTTTTTCTCACTTAAAGAAACAAAGAGTTCTTCTCCATTTGATATTGAGATGAGATATTTTCCATGAAGTACAATGTTGTGGTATATTTGTTAACTTCTAGAGTTCTCTTCTGAGTCATTTAAATATAATAAAAAGATAATATTCATACCTGTATGCTATCTCATTAAATGACTTATTTATTTCTGCAGGGGGAAAAATAAACACAAAATAATATAAAGTTAAAATTAAAAGAAATAGAAGGAAAATACCTGGTACCACTCTCTGACATTGGCCAAGTTCTTGGCAAAGACACTTAGGTAAGGGAAGCCCTACTTTCCATTATCTCTAAATTGAATAGGTTAATTAAAAGACTTCAAAAGTCTCACCCAGATTTAAGTTGAACATTTTATAGTTATTTTCTTAAGTTCACTATTAGAAAAGTATACAGATCAATTTATTTGACTTGTTCACATAAAGTATTTTACTTTACCCGAATAGCGGCAAATAAATCCTTTATACCACTTCCGAATTTCTGATCTTTAAGCATGCTGTCAAACAAATGAGGCTGTTTACGTTTCCCAGCTTTCATCCCTGCTGTACCTATATATGTTAACAAGTAAAGAAACTTATGGCATATTCAAATAATTGAAACACATCCATGAAACATATATACACACTCTAATAAGCCCAGCTGGCCCTAGAGTGGCAAGTGAGATGTTTTTGAACAAGTTAAGGTCAATCCAGTTAATTAAAAGACACATTCTTCTAAAACAGTGCTGTCCTTTAAGAACATTCTGTGATAATGAAAATTTTCCATATCTACACTGTCCAATACTGTAGCTGCTAGCTACCTGTGGCTACAAAATACTAAATACTTGAAATGTAGCTCCTGTAACTATTTTTCAGTGTTTGCAAAATAAATTTATTAAAATTTATTAAAAATTTATTAAAGTTTAATAAAACTTATTTAAAATTTAATAAATTTAATAAAATTTAATAAACAGTAAAAATGTATTAAAAGATTTTTAAATATATATAAATTGTAAAAATTTAATAAATTTTTAAAGACAACTTATAAATTCTAAACATAAATTATTTTTAAAATGAAATAATGAAAAGTAAAAATACATATTAATGAAATTCTGATACATAAAATAATATTTGGCTGTAATACTGCTTCATTTGTTCAAATAACACTAGCACATGATAGAGTATCTCTATGACAGACCACTACAAGTACAGGAGTCATATTCTCAGAGCAATGTTGTACTGACATGCTCTGAGAATGGGGCCAGGGGCAGGGAGTGGACTACTGTCCTTTAGTTTAATGAATTATATTTTTATATTCACCTGGTATATTGCGTGGAAAGCATGACAATGGTATTGATGTAGACCATGCAATAAGAGTGGTAATAAGAAAATAAACCCACCAAGTCGACAGCCATTGTGGATAACCATCATCTTTAGTGCTTTAATAGAGAAAAATGAAAAATTTCAACTTTGGGTATTTTATTACAACAGAGCTATCATCACAGAGAGAGAAAAAAGAAAAAAAATCTGTTAATTTGTCACTATTGTTTCTGTTGTTCAAAGGGAGCAGTTGTTATCATCACAGAGAGAGAAAAAAGAAAAAAAATCTGTTAATTTGTCACTATTGTTTCTGTTGTTCAAAGGGAGCAGTTGTCTGTTCTCTAATTATGTGCTTCCCTTTTGTCTTACAGGATCCTAAATTTTTCCCTTTTCCTTCTGTTCCCTGGCACCACTCAGATAGCAAAGGTTGTTTGTCCCTGTTTAACTTTTTTTTCCACCAGAAGCTATGTATTTGGAATACTACCTTTCAATCTTACCTCTCCTTTGAAATCATTCCTGACCCTTTAAATCAAGCACCTAAACCTTTATGGCAAGCCTTGTCCTTCAAGTTGCACAGCTGACCTTTTATATGGCATCTGACCCTTTAAATCACAGATACATTGAAAGCCCTTTCTTCTAGTCCTTTCTCTGAACTCTCAACTTTAGCATGAACTTATCCTTGGAGTGATCATTCCCAATCACCTGTAAGACCCTGTGCTAGGCTCTCTGTCCTCTGCCTTCCCTGTAGTTTTTCTTGGTCTGCCTTTGCCAAGGCCATGATTTTGTGGAAAAATTGCATAGTTGTGAAGTTATTTTGTATCATTTAAGAAGGAGATTGGGGGAACTGGTTACGACACAAATGCCATTGTCTTTAGCTCCACACACATTTAGGACCTTCTCCAACAGCCATTGTGGGAAAATGCCCACATCCATAGCAACCACAGTTTTGGAGGTGCTGACTTCTCACCAGTAGCCCTATTATAAACTAAAACCTGGTGGGTAGCTTGCTTATTATAGGCCTTGTCCTTAATAGAATGTGGAGAATGTTCCCAGTCTTACTCACTGATGAGAAAACTCTTTATTCACTGCTAGCATTACTCAGGAATACAAATTCCAACTTGCAATGACATAGGGTTACAATCTTGACTTCCATTATCTACTTGTTATATATATCTGAATATGCTTACACCCAGGAGTGTCAGCTCCAGATTACACTAAGGCTACATGTTGCCTCATTGATAATTTAATATTCATATTCAGAAGTTTTCTTCTTTTCACTTTTGAACCCAGCTCTATATTCTAACTATGTACACTACATTACATATAGTATGATTATTACATATGTATATATAATTGTGTATCTACAAGAGCCAGAGAAACCAACTAAACAAACCATAAAATGTAAGCAAAGAATTTGATATATATAAAATTTGATATATATATTTGTATATATAAAAGACAAATTTAGAAACCAAATATGTTCCTCCTACTAGAAATAATTGATTCATAAATGGAATATATAAAGATTCCATGTACAATACTAACAAAATGTATGAAATTCCTAGGAATAAACTTAATGGGATATGTTCAATAAAGAAAATAATAAAACTTTATTGAAGCACATAAAAGGAGAGCAGAGAAATAGAGTAACATAGCGTATTCTTGCATAAAAGACAACAATTATTCCCAACTTGCTATATAAATTCAAACAATTCACATAAAAATACTTTTATTATAATCTGAGATTATAAAATTTATCTGGTAGAGTGATTTTGTAAAAATAGTTTCTGGTATTTGATGAAAAATGATAATGAATGGAGACTTATCCAAGCAAATAGCAAATCATACAGTAAAGCTTTATTAATTAAAACATTGTAGTATTGGCATGGGAATAGAAAAATATATGAAGAAACAGACTACAGAGATAAGATACAAGAATAAAACCTATGGATACAGGGAAATTTAATTTATGATAAAGATGGTGTTTAATATCAGTTAAAAAAAAATCACACAGAATGATCCATAAGTGTCCTCAGTACAATTACATATCCTTTTCAGGTAAAAATAGAAGCTTGGCGTATGCTCATATTACATGCAAAAATAAACTGATATTGAGTATCTAAATATACAAAACACATTTACAAAGATACTGGAGAAAATATAGTCAAATATTTTAATAATTTTATATTAAGAGCTTCTTAAGCAAGACAGGAAACTAAAATCTTATGAAAGGAAAAATATACTGACATATTTTACTATATAAAAACTTTTAAGGTTTGTATAATAAGAGATGCCATACACAAAGTTTAAAGACAGATTGGGAGAAATTATTTGTCATGTGTCTAGCAGACAATTAATATCCATAATACATAAAGAAGTTTTATAAATCTATAAGAAGTGAGCCAATATAAAAACAAGGAAGGAAACAGGCATCAAATTCAAACATAAAAAAATACATATGGCTAGCAGAGATATTGTATGAATCATGGTCCTGAAAACATACTCTCTCTGGGTAATTTAAGAATATATAATTTAATAAAAAGTACTATTTAAGTGATGTGAGGAGAGTTTAAAGAAATCTGTGTAGGAAGAGGTGGAACCCTGGGTCTAGCCACAGCAGAGAGCCATACCACCTCCAGCCCTGAAGAGACAAGAGGAGATAGAGGTTAAGCAAACCTAAGGCCATGTAAGAGGAGACATGGCCTTTTTAAAAGAGATAGAGCAAAACCATTGAGACTCAGCAGGGAAGGAAAGAAAAGAACAATATCCAGATCTCGCTTTCCTCATGCCCTCAGATCTCTCTCCAGTGCTCTACCCAAGCCAAGCCTAAAAGGAACCAGAATCTATTATTGCCCATTGATGTTGTCCATATGGGTCAACCTCCTTAGGTACAGAGCAGGGTGAAGAAAAGTAGAGAGTGAAACTGTAGCAACAGAAAATATCCAACATAATCCATCACCTTGGTGCCTAAGAATGATTGCTCTTTGCTGAGCAAAAAAAAAATTCTTGGATGAAAAAAGCTCTTAGGATACACTAAATCTCATTAGTTACTATACAATCATGAGATTATATTAATTCTATTATATTCTCAACTGAAATCTAAAACACTGTTGTAGAAGATGTTGTTGGTTTCCCATTTATATAACCTTGGCTTGGCATTCATAGTTCCCATACACACCAAATGAATAGCTCTGAATGGCAAGGACTCTATGGTTGGCTGAGAGTTCAGAGGGCAGGGCCAAAATAGCCTAGTTAATATTTAACCCCAAGAGCATCCCTCAACCAATGATAGCAGGATTTACTGGATATATATCCCAACTTCTTTAAACAGCTGTTGGGATAACTCTGAGTTATATCTATACTGTCCCCCAGAGTTCTCGTTAATATTTAACCCCAAGAGCATCCCTCAACCAATGATAGCAGGATTTACTGGATATATATTCCAACTTCTTTAAACAGCTGTTGGGATAACTCTGAGTTATATCTATACTGTCCCCCAGAGTTCTCTGGTGGGGATGAGCCCTAATTTCCCCAAGCAATAAAATGCTCAATACAATGAACATTTTATTGTCTTCTCATCCTTACCTTCCCTTGCTCACTTCCCCACTATCCTGTCATACTTCCTAGAATCATCTCTCAAATAAATAGTGTACACTCATATCTTTGTCCCAAGTTCTGCTTCTGTGGGAACCCAACCTAAGATAGTTACTATCACCAGAGCTCATCATACAATCTGACAGAAGAAAACGTAGAAGAAAATTAACATAAAACCTTGTTCTCATTGTTCCTGTCTCATTAGCTAGTAACAGGTCTAAGTTTACCATCAAATCTTCCTTCTTTCACCACCTGTTCAGCTAGTGCCTTGGTTAGAAAGAATACTTCACCTGGTGGGGTGACCGAAACCTTGATTCCTGTAAGATCTGAGCCTTACTGGTATTGTCTTTAATGAGATGAGGAAGTCATCCATTAAAGAGAACTACTAATCTTTCCCCAGAGACACTCTGCCCGATGCCTCAAGGCTGAGCAGTCCAGGAGGGCTGCACACTCTGATGGCACTGCTCAAGAGGGTGTAGATGCCCAGAGAAAGGGCCTGTTTCCCCATGAGCAGACCCTCTCACCCAAGCCAGTGGGAAGCTAAGAAAATAAATAAATAAATAAATAATAAATAGATAGATGATTGATAGATGGATGGATGGATGGATGGATGGATAGATAGATAGATAGATAGATAGATAGATAGATAGATAGATAGATAGATAGATAGATAGATAGATAGATAGATAGATAGATAGATAGATAGATAGATAGATAGATAGATAGATAGATAGATAGATAGATAGATAGATAGATAGATAGATAGATAGATAGATAGATAGATAGATAGATAGATAGATAGATAGATAGATAGATAGATAGATAGATAGATAGATAGATAGATAGATAGATAGATAGATAGATAGATAGATAGATAGATAGATAGATAGATAGATAGATAGATAGATAGATAGATAGATAGATAGATAGATAGATAGATAGATAGATAGATAGATAGATAGATAGATAGATAGATAGATAGATAGATAGATAGATGGATAGATAGATAGATAGATAGATAGATAGATAGATAGATAGATAGATAGAACTACTAGGCAAAGAGAATACGGAGAACCAAGTAAATCCCTTGGATTTCAAACAAGTCATCCTTGTCTCTGTTATATAGCAGCAGCCCATTCGCTTTCTATCAGTAACTCAGATAATTCACACTGGTTACTATTGAGATTCCCTTTCACTACACATTGATTCAGAATCATTACAATCTCAAAATGACTGAGAATATTATATTTCCTAATGTATCTAAATCATACTCCATTGGGAGTAAGGACCTCCAAAACCATCAAGGTCAAGTCTGCAGGGAATGAAAGCAAAAATTCATTCAGTGGAATATTTCACGTAAAAGTGAGAACCCCTGGGCCGGCCCGGTGGTGCACTCTGTAGAGTGCGGCGCTTGAGAGCGCAGTGGTACTCCCACCGAGGGTTCGGATCCCACATAGAGACCAGTCCGCTCACTGGTTGAGCGCAGTGCAGGCGCGACACAGGGTTGCGATCCTGTTGCCGGTCG